AAGTATATATACTTGCTGTATATATTTTATTAATGCTAATAAAAAATTAGGAAAATTGGTGAAGAGAATTTGTGAGGTTCTTGAGATTTTGCCATGCCGATGATGTAGAAACTGCAGCTGCTTTGAAAGTAGACATCGATGAAATAAAAAAAAAATAAAATAAACACACATAAAAATTTTGTAAATTCAAAAAGTTTTAAAAATAAAAAATAAAGTTAACACCTTTATATTGCAGATCAGGAAGAACCTGATGACACAAAACCACTTTGCCGATGCCCACGATGTAAAAATGATATTTCTCGAGCCCTTGCCTGGATATAATGAAAAAAAAATCAAAAGAAAGTGGATGTATGAAAAAGTAAATCCACTGCCTTCACATGTGCAAGCCATCGATGCTACCTTCTGTCTGTCAAATGTAATAAAAAAAATGAGGAAATTATAATTTGTGACAAAGATTCAGGCAAGGTGGTGCTTGCTGTATATTGTAATCAGATTGGACCCAAGGTTTTAAATATTATACAAGGTACAGGGCTGGAAATGTTCCAACTACGAAGAAGGGTTGCCCAATCTGATGATATATCGAAACTTAACCAAGGAGCACTGGTAGCTGCTGGATATATAAATTTTATATGTGTTTAATTTCATACTTGAGCAATACTGATAACAAGTTTTAGATACCTATTGACAAGGGAATGTGGAATTTTTACACATGTTTTCAATATACCGAAAGAGTTACGAGAAACAAGCCAGCAGTATCTGCATGAAGAAAAAGTTGTCACGACGAACAGCCTTCTTTTTAACTATGCAATGGGTATTTTTCCTACCAATGTGACTTCGAGTATACATAATGATGAGTCCCTAAAGTATTTAGCATATAAAATTTTGCAGATCACTTATGTTCTTTTTTGAGGGACAAAATTCATAGCTCTTCACTTTAATAGGGACAAAAGTCAAGAAATACTATAAATCAATGATTTCCTAGTGAGGGACATTTGACTTATGTCCCTGCCTCCCCCTTTAGGGACCCATCTTTAACTCCCGGGGGTCCAAGCGAAATTCATGATATTTGCATGTTCCCATCGGAAAGATCGTGCGTAATTTTGAATCACGTGTCTCGATCATGCATAATTGTTAAATAATCCTTTTGTCTCGTGCCCCTCACAGAACTTATTATTAAATGCTTAAAAGCCTGTTTCCTTAAAAATGGAAAATTTGAAATGATTGGTATGCTGGTTTACATGTTCAAATCGCCAAGGAAGTCCAATGCTATGTTAAATTCAACTTCATGTCGATACTACGTGCGGTAGTAGTAGAATACGAAAGTCAAAAAAAAAAAAAAAAGAAACAACGAACAAAAAGAAATACTTTAAGAATCAACCTATTTTTAGCACCATCATTTATGAATACTCCTGTGCATACAAAGATGATCACAGGTTCTATCATAATAATTCGTCGAGGCCCTGACTTCACAAACAATGGAGACCCGATTTATTGAAGAATCAAAGTCCGCATTTTCCTGCTTCGCAGGCAATGTGTTGGTCATTCAAGAAAGCTTTCAGAAAAATAAACGAAAGCTCTTAAAAGATCACATTCGTAGATTGGTTTAAACAAAAGGTCGTGTTTGGACAAAGTGAATGGAAAATTGGTATATTTAAGGTCGCAAAAAAAAAAAAAAAAAAGGAAAAGAAAAAATGAGAATCCTGAGTTTGCATATGAACGTTTCAAGACCGGAAAAATTTTTCTTTGAGGCACGATACCAATTCGTTTTCTCTTTCAAATCTCTTTCATAGTGGTGCCGAGGAAAAGGATGATAGGCGTAACGGAGACTGAAGAATTTTCAATATTTGACAAAAAATTTTATCCAGGCGATTTTGACGAAAGTTCGATTCCACAAACGCCCCTCAATACTCCTTCCGGGACTTTCGAATTTTCCTTATTTTCTTCCCTCACTCATTCTCACTCGCTCCCTTCTTCCCAAGGCGTTCACGGTCAACCAACTCTACTAGAGGGTCCACAATTTTGGCCTACTTCAAAACCCATCGAAAAACGTAATGCACGTTACTCCGCCGGCTCCCTGCGAAACTCCAAATTTACGAAAAAAAATTTTTGGAAAAAGGTATGGAACAAACTATCCAACTTCCAAGACTCGTCCGCGGCGGATGGTAGCAAGTTCTTCGTGATAATAAAGTCGAAGAGACGTGGCTCGGATCAAAGTTCATCCGGTGACGACGATGTTATCACGCTTTCTACGGCGGACTCATTCTTTCATAATTCGCCGACTTCCTTATCCACCGTAGAAAGTTACGAAGATGATCGAAAATCCACATCGTCAACCTCCTCTAACTCATCAACCAATACTCTGGCATCTTTTGCCACCG